ATGGGTAACTCACTCCTGTGAAAATTGTAATTCAGACCCTAAACAACGTTACGCGGAGCTTAGCAACTACCCACGGTAGAATTGGAAGGTATGGCGCTTCCTATTTATCTATTAGTTGGAGCCGTGACGGGTAAGTTCACGCTGACGAACCATAGAGACCAAACTAATCTTGTCAACTAGTGCGACGTTATAAGATGGCATTAAACACGTACATCACTTCTATCAGAGCCAAGTATCGGATCTATCAAACCAACGAATGAGTACTGACGACGACAACACAATTCATCGACGGCATTACACTGAGATACAGTATTCTCGCAGCTGACCATGGCCCAGACCAGAAGAAGGTTACCTAGAACAATGGGTGGTCAGTTGTTGGTCAGCGCGAAATTGCTATCGATTATGTATGCGACGATACCTCCTGAGGGAACGTGATAACATGATCGTATACCACAAGGGTGAATGATGCCATAGACAATTGTTTGGAGGAATAGCTCGCCCACAATGCCTGGACGTCTGGCATGATAAATTGCGGATGCCCTGAGCTCGGGCCTCGAGTACTTGCGTAGAAAGAGCTGTCTGGGGAGTCGCATCAAGGAATGTGGACTAGTGCTACTATATAACGCTGACACTGACAGATATCTATCATGATGTACAGATTTCTACAGAAGGCTAAGTTGATGCCGACATTGACCTGGTAGTCACTTCCTATATAGTACACGTGGGCCTGCAGCTCCAAGGTGAGAATTAATTAATTTATAGGATTCAATCCCGTTCCACATCTTACATGTACAGTTCTAGATCGTTGTGTCCACATGATGACTACCATCATCGGCTGATACACAGCCATTCAAAAAATATCTCCTCAGATTCGTCGATAACACATGTCCGTTAGTAGATTTGAAGATAGGAGTGCGTGAACAACTCTCCTTGCTCTCTTTCACAACAACTTCGCACAAAAGAACGACCTCTGTCCTCTACTATCATGCATTAGGTGTGGGAATTACTCGGTTAGCACACAGGTTCAGTAACTATTAAGGTATCGAAGGCTCATGCGGCAGTGTAGGATGCTAAAAACGTATGACCGAAACGAGTTCATCGCCGATCTACAACTGAATCAATCACATCCGCAGTCAAAACACAGCTACGAGTCTTACCTATGATACATCGATGATCATTGGCTCTTCGTGGGAGCGCCTAGATCCTCAAAACGATCACTGTCTCGCAGATTGCACCGCATCCAGAATATCCATGCCACTAAGATTCATCATGGGGAGTTCTGCCTCGTTGTAACCGTCTAGCTCGACGAAAATCTCGCCATCATGATCTCCCTTGGTCCAATGGACACGACTGAGTTCTGCGTGATTGAGGAGCCATGCCGGATCTACGTGAAGCGTCGCAGATATAGATCGAATGCTGAGTAATGCGTGGCAGACGGAGACGAGGGTCGCGCCAACGACGAATCTGATAGAATCATTGGTTTTATGATTTCATACATGAGTGAGCTATGAGAGCGACCTACCCCCCTTGTACACCTGTGTAGTAAATCTAAAATATAAGCTGCCAAGCCGAACAGGAAACGGGTTGGCACTACTCACATCCAGCTGCGAAACATTAGTTAATGAAATGGAGATAATTGTATACAGAATCGATCCTGAGCGATAGCATGACAGATATGAAAGTCGATGTCGAACTTGACTGCTTACCCGTCGCGCATGCATACATTATTAAGCCCCTGAGATATAGTGAGTACGTGATCGAGTAGCTGCACAGTCAAGGGCGTACTCTTTCAGGAACCCGCCCAAAAGTGAAGAGCGTCTCTGAAATCGGTCGCTCGTCATATACCTATATACCTTGAGGCCAAAAAGGACGCTATGATTTACAAAGGCAGGCGCGTAGACAACGGCGAATATAGAGGGGTTTTTGATCAAACTCGGATGCTGCATTTCTTGATAGATACGGTTGAAGAGAAAGCCAATTAACGTCCAAGTCGAACATATGCACACGAAGTACAGCAACGCAGCAAATCTTCGTATTAGCTTGTTCCTCGAGAAGAGGTACCAAACACGGAGAGCGATGACAGCTTTAGGGGTTATTGATAGATGCATCAAAGGAATTTCAAGCTGCGCACCTTGACACAGCGCAGCGCCCAGAGTGATCAACACGATATCCGCGATAAGCAATGCCTTGAAGCTTAGTCATAAATCAGCGTGAAGCCTCGATTGACAATAAAAACTGGGAGACTCACACCTGCAAAGTGGTCTGAGCAACTGTTTACACCCCCAAAAAATCACTTACAGTAGGATTGGAGACGCGAAATTGCTTCTGAGATGACATGAAGTCAGAGAGTGCCTGCACCACAAAGGCCTTCCTTACGGTAGACTGCAACACTGAGAGACGATGAGAATGATCAAATGGAATAGTTAAAAGCACCTCACAATGCTTGCATTAATCCTAGATATCGTATCTGAAAATCAACAATTAGGGAGAGGTTGCACTGTAGATTGGGACATAGATCACGCTAAGATAGAGAACCTAGATGCATCCCATGGACCAGTCCAAAACAGATTCACCTACATTTATCGTTAATCAATAACTTCGCGATCCTGTTAGGAACACGACACTAGCACTGACCTCCTGATCAAACGTTATTACATGGTCGTAAACAATTAGAGCTGCCGAGGCGACGGCGACGTCTGTAGAGTGAATTATCAATGATGCAACCGTGGTACTCTCGTAGTGGGCCATGGTCGACATAGCTGAAGAAGGGTGGAGAAGAATCGCGGGGATCCTCTTATGTAGGTTGGGGTTGCTGATGCACACGAGGCGGTGCCACCTCATGATTGCAATGATTACATTGCAACAGAAGTTAATGATCTTGATACATAACATGAGTCTTTGCCTGTCTTTACCCGCACATGATAACATGAAATCAAAGTAAGAATGGCACCCATATGTGTTGGCCGTCTCAAGTCTGATGTATTTTGAGTCCTGACGAGGTCGTTGATCGTCGTCTCCAGTTCTGAGAACCTCAGAACAAGTCAGAATAAAATTCCACGCTTGTCACAAACTTCATTGCAATAGTGAGTTGTTGCTATAAGCAATTTATGTATCAAGTATTTTTGCTTAACGTGCCTCAAAACGTGCTCACTGGCTAATTGCCCGAGGGCAGCTTGATCGCTTAGGAAAAACTATGATCGTGTGGAGTACTCCGGTGGTGCCATAGTAGTTGAACTTCAAGAACAGAAAGTCCCACGTGTCCCATTGACAAGAGTGTCGACGTTCAGTCGAACCCCGGGTTTCTCACCACTCAATCGATTCAAAACTTACCTTCAAAAAAATTTTGAAGTCGCCTCTTCATTAAATCATGTCCAAAACGCCCACAGGAACGGCGAACTGGTGGGAGTGCGCTTCAGCGGCTTCCAAATTCACACCAAGGACATTTCAATTCACGGTTACAAAAAAATGGCCGGAGTTGCACTTTCGGCTCCCAAATGTTGAGAAGAACAAGACACATACGTGCAAGGCTGAAGTGTGAGCCGCAAAAAAAGCCCTGAGCATCTAAGTAATATCAGCCGGCTGCTTCTTGAATGCAAAATGGGAATCGCGTGAATCGCAACCGAAGTCCATCCGAAGTATCAGCAAAGGACTCTCCATGATTGACAATTTTTGCATGGCATGAATGCATAAGGGCATGCGAGACAATCGACGTAGATGTAGATAACCATAGCTGTAACAGCTCTTAACATACTCAAGGAGCGAACAAGGTGCCGAGGAAAGCCTCTCCAGCAGAGGAGCCCTTGGCCTTCTTTCCTTTCTTGTCTTTTTGCGCCTTGACACGCTCCTGTTTGACTGTGTCGCATAAATATGAAGTATAAGTAATGAATTTGGCAGTAGGAAGGGTAGATAAGATACGCACGCAATTCTTGCCTGCGGAGGGTCTTGGCGTAAGGGTTCATACGGAAGAGAACGCCCTTGTTGACGAGGGGGTTCTTCTTCTGCGTCCATGGGCGCTTCTGGACCCTGGGGCCGGCAGGGCGAACAACAGCTTGAATCTCAGAGCTGTTGATGAGACGAGTGACATCGGGGTTGGAAATTTTGGCTGTAGGGAGGCTAGACATACACAATTGTTAGTCAGTTCGTAAGGCGCTGCATAAGGGACGCACAGGTAGTCCTTCTTGTACAAGGAGGCTTTGTCAAAGGTGCCGAACACCTCGTCGAGCAAGCTGAAGGCACCCTCTGTCCAGATGACGAAGCGGCCAATGTGTCCACCAGGAGCGAGTTGGAGAAGGTTCAACCTTTGGACATTGACAAGTTCGACACCAGGTAAGTTGCGGAAGGCCTTGACGATGCCGTTGTCTTCTTTGAAGACGACAAGAGGGCCACGACGTTGGCGGTAGCGACGGTTGCGCATCTTGCCCTTTCCTGCACGGAGTTTGCGCGAGTTGGAGACCTTGGTGACATCCGTGTATGCGTTCAGGGTCTGGAGAAGAGCAATGGCCTCCTTGGTTTTCTTGAAGGACTCTGCTGCGTTCGCAACGACAAGGGGAACCTCAGCGATCTGCTCAATACGGTGACCGCGAGCGAGAACGAGGGATGGGAGCGCGGAAGCTGCGAGTGCGGAGACGGTAGCGAAGCGGCGCTGATTTTGGTTGACCTTGACGTGCCATTTGCGCCAAGTCTTGGTGGGGGCGAACATGCGACCGCCACGGCACATGTTTCCGAAAGCAGCCTGAGGAGATATTGTCAATGCCAAATCAGAGATGGTATGGGTGTGTTCTACGCACCTGACCGGAGCGGTGGGTACCTCCACCACCGACACGAGGAATACGTGCAACAGCACGACCGGTACCCCAAGACTCAGCGGAAGTCTGGTGACCGGCCTTCTCGCTGACAGCGTAAGCCTGACGCCTGTTCTTAGCCATACTCTCTGAGACGATATGAATTTTCTGATCAAGGTGCAGAATATCTGATACGCACTGTGAACCTGGGCAACTACATCGAGCCTGATGGGAGCGGTGAGGACGGCAGGAAGGGGGAGGGAGGTCGAGGCCTCTACTCGAGATGATTAGGGTGGACAGTCAGCGAGTAAAACGATGAGTACAAACCTCCGGAGACGGATTGGACGGTAACGGTGGGTCTTGAGGCCATTGTCGTTGATCTTGACGGTCTTGAGAGTGTGTCCTAGCCTGACGTGTTGATACGAGAAATAAAGTTTGCTAGTTCTAAGCCTCAGAGCAAACACAACCAAATATTATCCCACATAACCACAAACACCGAGTCGATCTTCTTCAGACCTTGACTCGCATGTTTCGCAAGAGGTTAGGACTGGTGCAACGACGTGTTCCTGATTCGCGCAACTCGAAAACAGGTACACGTTGTTGCAGTAGCTACACAATTGAGCATGGCGTAGAATTTAGTCTACGTATAAGTTGAGCAATGCGCGCCCGTTGTTGGTCTCTTGGATGCATTCTCCATGATATCAAACACGATACGCGCGTTGGCTCAGGGCTTTCTTTCATATCTTACAGTGAGTTACATGTTCGGTTCGAATTAAGACATTCGTGCATTTTCAGCACCTTTGGGCTTCGAACGATCGAGAAACTCGTCATGATTCCTCCTATCGATAATTGGGCACTCAAAATACCCTCTCTTTTCTTGGGTTGCAGGCGCCTCAGTTTCGCGCACTGACTGCGAATCTATAATTGGGTGCCTCCAACATTGCCGCCTCGTCCTCTGCGAGGGTCGCGTTCACTTGCATTCTTTCCGCCGACTTCTTTCCACATCTTCGCCTAGTATGCTCACCCACAAGCTCACGTCCAAAGATGTGTCGTGTGCTAAGTCGCAACCAATATCTTCCCCTATTCCGCTCGCAGTCTTCGTAGATGCCGCGACCTCATTCGGAATTGGGTTCCTAGCAGACAAACACTGGTTAGCCTGGCGTCTCCTGCCTGGCTGGGATTCAGAGGGCCGTGAAATTGGTTGGGCCGAAATGGTTGCCATCGACCTTGGTTTGCGTGCCCTTATTCACTCAGGGCTCCGTGACGTTCACATCCACATTCATTCTGACAACCAAGGCGTAGTTGGGGCGCTAAAGGCCGGTAGATCTTGCGGTCTAGCTCAGAATGACATCCTCCAACGTCTTTCCTCATTCGCGCTTGAGCACAATGTTCAGTTTTCGGTGGAATGGGTCAAGTCGGCTGATAATTTGTCTGATTGCGTTTCCAGAGGTATCTTTCCACCCACATTATCTCGCTTTAGCCCTTCTCCTCCTCTCCCTACTTACCTGGAAAAATTTGTATGTCTAGTTTGAATCACGTTCACCTTCTCGCTGCATCCCACGTTCCCGTCTCTATTGGTTTTTTTGCATTACATTCTCTGTAGGTCTTGTGACTTATCTGCAACCCATCTGCGTATGATATTCTCCTTTGTAATTTCACTGCTTGTCTGATTTTGAATTCAACCTTGGCTACTTATCACCCACATACAAGAACACCGAGTCTTGTCTGAGCTTGTTCCACGAGGGTCAGAACTGGGGCAACGACAATTGACGCTCTCCAAAACCAGCTTCACTTCGTTGCGGCAGCTCCACAATTGAGGATGGCGAAGAGTTTAGTCTACGTGTAAGTTGAGCAATATCACACGATCGTTTTTGGATGATACGCGCATGAAGCCCTGAAGCCCGGACAGCTGGAGTATTAGCTTCTGATTCGAACCAACGTGTGGCGAAGGCCTGTGCAATACTCTTCAGGGCCTTCGTAACACGTTCGGTTCGAATTAAGGCTCATCTGTGCATCTTCAGCACCTTTAGGCTGATTTCAAACCTGTCTGTTACGACATGCCAGTTCACTACTTCGACATGACTTGCCATTTCGCCACTGTGTCTGGCTGCCGTTAGTGTCTGACCTTTTTCTCCATGCATCTCAGAGAAGACTCGGAGGTGCTTCTTTCTCAGAAAGCTCAGCATTTCAGCATCTCATCCGTCTTGCTTTCGATTCTGCATGAACTGACTCTACTCCGTGTAAATATCGTGGCATCGTCCGTGACTTCGAACACATGCTCGCTGCCCGCCAGTGAAGGCCTTTTGTGCGCGTTTGGAACCTCCCGCGTGGGATATGATCTACAGCTGGAGCGACAAAGCCACGAGGTAGCAGTGATACTAGTCGAAGACGGTAGCTATGCATGTACATCATGTGCGCATAGTAGTCGCGCATAGAGGTTCGGGACACCGGGCTTTGAGAGAACTTCATACTGACAGTGATGCATCATTTTCACATTTCCCATTCCTCAAACCTATGCTTTCCTGTAGTTTCTTTTCTGCCTCTAACCATTCAGCAAGAGCACCACCACCGCCTCCCCAATTCTGCTGGCCTACGATCTGCTCTTTCTTAGCCTGCATCTCTTCATTTCCTTGAGATGTCCTAAGCGCATCAATTTCGTACATACGTCCCGTACGTTCCGATTCACGTGCTACGAACTGAGTGAATGGGAGGCGAACATCCTGGTATGCTTTCAACGCGGTGGGCACGTTATCCAATGTTGTAAGCGGGTGGGCAAGAATGCGGCCAAGCACAAAAGCATCCTTCGTACAAGATGAGATCGCATAGTCTGGCGTGAGATCACGCCTACCTCCATTGCCTGACCAGCTCCGGCGCCCAAGTAGGGTGTCATGGCATGGCACTACACGATTTCGTCAAAAGATCTTCTATATAATTAGCAAGGAGAAGCGTACCGCATCACCTATCAGGGCAACTCTGCCGTAAGTTGATAAAGGCAATTCGTTTACTACATGAAGGGCCCATCTTGAAAGGTTTTCGCAACACTGAAGACATGATGTCGGTCGAAGGAGGCGTAACTCAAGAACTTACTTTCAACAGGTTCTCGAAAGCGGGGTCGAAGTCCTGGTATAATTCCTGGACCTCTTCTTGGGACACATCTGAAACCCAATGACCCTCGAAAGGTGTGCCAGCTTTCTGTTCATCAGTGACAAATGCCACAATATTGATCAGTGTTCCTTGTAAAATCGGATATGACACGGCATGCTATGAAGTTATAGATTCATCAGCAAGCAGAGATGAGTGATCGCAACAAACTACCTTTCCCTTCCCGCAGAACTATGAAGTAAAAATGACATTCCCGACGACCATGACCGCTACTCTGAGAACTTACTATGATAAGACCTCCAAAAGCCACGTTGTTTGGATCTATCTGGGAGAGTTTGTTCGCCGAGATGACAGCGCGATAGACCATCGTTCCGGTCCAAGATGGATCTCCGTAGTATCCTATCTTACTTGGGTCCACGACGTCTCGGTCTAACGTCTGGAAGAGCGTCTTCCGCACCGAGGAGTGGACGCCATCTGCCCCTATCAACACATCCGTAGTTGCGGTGCTGTCATCAGCGAAGCGAAGTATGAACGATCTTGGTGAATGGTTGCCATATTGAGTGAGGCGTTTATTAAAATGAAGCCTGCATGACGAGGGGAGATGTTGCGTCAGAATGTCGACGAGATGCTGGCGGTGCATAGCGGGTGGCGCGTTTTCCAAGGTCAGATGAAAACCACCCTGTGGGGAATTAGACCTCCTGGATTTTCCCCCTGTTGGCACGAATCAAGTTACACGCGGATGACAAGCAAACTCTTGAACAGACCATAGCTGGAGGAAGTGGGTTTGTACGAGACACTGGAGATCTTTTCGTATATACCGAGTTCTTCCATGACCTTTGATGTACGCCGCGAGACTGTAACTCCAGCCCCAGCGGTCGTGATGGCGTCATGCGCTTCATATAAGTCTATCTGGATATCGTGACCTGCGAACTTCCCAATTGTGATAGCGAGGAGAAGCCCTCCTATGCCCGCACCACTGCACAGGGAACTCAGTCCGTGTCACGTTCATGAAGGGTTATCTGACCCACCAGATTGCTACTCGAAATTTGGGAGTGGCTGATGGGAGCGACATTGATTATATGCGATACAATTACAGTGGCTGCATTTTATAGGCCAGCTTGATATGATGCAAGCCTAGATCCTTGGTAACCGGCCAGAACTGCCTTCAGGAACAAGTTATCTTCAACGGTGAGAGTTGAATTCAAAAGCGTTTCTCCGACTCACAGAGGGAAAGGGATCGCAGGCATGATCGCAGAAGTATTCGAATATCTATTCGATCTCGCTAAAGTGTGCCTTCAATCACAAAGTCTTGCATCCTCTAGACTGACATGTCGCTCGCGGAGTTTGATTCGCCTTCGTTGATACGCTCACAGGGCCTACCAAGCGTTTCCATGGTTTCCATGACTGAGACCGCCCAGCTCTGTTCACCTGTTATGACGATCATCGGGTCACAAAATGACCAATTCAAGTTGGCGTGCGGCATATCGACTGTGCCTAAGATGGTTTGAACTTCCAAAGGGGATGTACAGCGCTGGACGTAGTGAGACACAGGCCTTCGGGATGACAGTTCCAGCTTTCCATGTCTGCAAACTGTTTCGAACCTATCGCATAAAAGACCCCGGAACGAATTCACAATTTGATCTGAATCGACTGCCAGCTACTTAGACCGAATAAAAGGAACAGGCCTTCTTCATTGCAGGTCCCAGGTGGCACTATCCCGAGGCTTCTCGATCGAGGCTCAAGCCAGGCCATGCATTCCTGCAACGGGCGTCAATAAAATGACCGATTCATGAGATCATCCGTTACGTACTCTTCCCTTTGCTTCGCGATCTGTGATTCCAATTCAGCTTTTCTCGATCAGCTTGTCGCCTCGATCCACGATCATCAAAGTGCTTGAATTTGACGGAGTAGAACACCGAACCGAACTCAGCTACGATTGTCATTAATTTACGTCGGGATGAACGTGTAAAAGTTATTATACTTACATAGCCACATGGCATCGATCGCAGTGACCTGTGTCACGTACTTACTCTTCGGATGTCGGTCAACTCGTGGTAAACAACGTACGTGGGGGTATCTTCGTCCTTGTCAGCGAAACTCAGATGAAAAGAATTATTCGTATAGATTCAAGACCACGTGGTGCGCTCGTAGGACGCAGATGCGTCGCCAATACCCTTGGCACAGGCACATTGGTGGAAATAGCCAGCAGCGATAGCTTTTCTGCGACAAGGTCAATGCAGCGTAATTTGTCCAGCTACGGCACGGCACATGATGACGTCGAAGTTTGTGCATGCAGAAATGATCTCCAATTTTTTAGAACTTCATGATATCTTCCAACCTGTTCGTGTGAGGAGGAGGGTTCATGAAGTCGAACTCAAGAAGGCTCTTGACGCCAAGAGACTTCAGGAGCAGAACAGTGTTGGCGAGATTGGTGCGCTGGATTTCTGGGATGGTATTTGGGAACATCTCATTGCGATACGCCATCTCTGTAGACAGGCGGTAGCAGACCCTATGGAAGTAAAGCAATAAATATTGTGCAGCTAGAATGAAAGACGTACCCGCTGCCTGTACGGCCGGCACGGCCAGTCCGTTGGTTGGCGTTGGCTGATCGGTGTGATCTGCAAGGCATCCATGTCGACCTTCCAGTTATACACCTTAAGCTTTGAGTAGCCCGCGTCGACCACGCTATAATGCCATCGACCGTCAAGGAAGTCTCAGCAAAGTTAGTGGCTAACATGACCTTCCATTGTCCATCGGGAGTGGCTTTAAACATCTTGGCCTGAAGCATCAGTAAAAAACCCTAAATGCCGTAGCCCGAGTGACAGCTATATAGCACTATGTAGGCACAGTAGCACTATGTAGTCACACCTTACACTACATTGTCCTATATAGTGTTATATAGTCTAAAGGCAAGCTATATGCGGCTATATAGTTACCACCCGTGCTACAGGTAGCTACAGGTAGCTACAGGAGCTACACGTCGTTGTATCTAATTACTTATAACACATGCGCAAAACATTTCGCCATCGATGAACTCGTTGAAATAAAAATCGTTCGCCACCTCGTATGCATTTCCGCTTCTCAACCTCAGATCTACTGTTGGTCCCATCTTCGGTATAAGGTGGCACGGCCGCACGATTTCGTCAACGTGGATTACAGCGGCGTTGCGGCGAAGTTGTCGTGTTGAGCGCGAGACCTGTCGCATTCGAGAAACAGGGTCTGATGGTTTGAAAGGAGTGAACCACTCGACGTAGGCGAGGGCTCTGGAATATGCGCCGAACTGGCGAGGTAGGGTGAAAATAGCGCGAACTTGGGCTACACGTACACCTGCAACAAGACGATTATCAAAATTGACCGCTGAGAAACCCGGAAAAAAAATACCTTCAAGAGTATGGAAGTTAGAAGAGCGAGGCCTGTCTGCTATCAAGGCCATGTCAAACCGGGCTGGGATACCAGGCTTCCGGCCTGACGGCAACGTTTCTGGTGTTGCCCTGATCCGCCTTCACTGTGGCACGTCGCTAACTCGTAAATCAGGTGGCGTCACGATCACCACTTGACGATAAAGATCGAATCGGTCTTGAAGTCCAGGGACTATGGTGTTGCGCAGGAGATTCTTGAGCAAGAAGGATCGGAGAGCAGGGAGGAACTCGGTAGCACCGTGTGCTGTTATGATGGTTCCAACGGATTGGTGAGGATGTGCGGGGGCTTTCGCAAGGACATGTGTTGCTTGAAGTGGTTCAGCGGCGGGAAGATTTGGTGTTTCCGACTCCGAGTCCGTGTCCGAATCTGCGTCGAAGTTGTATGGGTTTGAATGACATCCGGTGAGACCCGCAGGTGACTTGGAGCGAGGCTGTTGGGACAACCAATCCAGGTATGCGCTACGTAAAAATACGGCTTCTTGGCGTTGGAGCCACAAAGCCATTTGTTCTTCGTAGTCCCGTTTGTTGCTAGCACGGTATGAATCTTTTGCGAAATCAATGTGTAAGCGCTCTGGAAGTTCAGTATTAAAGCCGTCAGCTGCGCCAAACAACGTGATCGACTGGACGTAATGAGAGAGCTGGTGTAGTTTCGGAATGTTGAAATGCTCTCGAACAGCGAGCTCCTTGAGGATGTCTTTGTTAGTGTGAAATACAGTCAGGGCGGTTTGTAGGGCTTCGAGGGACTCAGTCGTCTGAACTTGAAGCTGGGCAAAATACGAGAAGTCGAGAATAGATCGTGCAACTACCAAAACACGACTGCAAGGCATGACATCAAAACATCATCTTAACGACTCGTTAAACACATCAGGAAAACCACAAGTTACTTATCTCACTTTATTTGTCACTTAATTTCATGAAAAGCGACCGATAAGTCATTTGAGAGAAAAGCGTGAGCCACTTAAAAAAGCCCACTCAATATCTGGAGATTCGCTTTTTCAACACTTATTTCGCTTAAAAAAGCAGACAAAAAGCAGACAAAGCGGCACAATTGTTATTGAAAGGGGGGCATACAAGTAGAAATAAGTGTAGATTAAGCAGACTCCCAAAAATGAAAAGTTGGGAGCCATTCGAACATAAGGAGAAAAAGGTGGGGCAAAAGCGATGATCGCGGCGACATATATCTACTGTAGGGCGGCGGCAGCGGTACAACGACTCGAAGACAAATCCTGCAGCAATGTAGTATATGATGTCAGCGAGACGAAGTCGGAATAAATAAAACTTACAGATCATAGCACGCTCGTCCTCGTCCGATTCGTAGTCGTTGAGCGAGCCCGATGTTTCAGCAACATCCTGTAAAATAGCGCGTGCCATTTTTACCGTAGCCTCCACGTAGCCAGTGGGTTTGCTAGAAATAGACTTGATGTACGAATTAGTAGCTTTGGACCAGCGAGCTGCCGAAAATAAGAATGGTGCATTGGTCTTTTTCCCTGTAGCCTTGTTAAGGACCTTGGGAAGCTTGATCGTAAACTTTTCTCTCGACGCAGACAACAGGATCTCTTCGACTTTGAGTTCCTTGCGGGAGATCATACCAAGAGCACGCTCGAGCTGAAAAAAAATGAGTGCGATTAAAGCATTTAAAATTAAACTCACCGCCGCAGCAGAAAGGGCAAGAACGCGTGACGTCCCGATCGTTGCAAGTGCTCCCAAGTCGAGGGAAGGAATCTCCACATAACCATTGATGGCGCTGAGGTGCGCTCTACCATACAGCTGCAGTAGGAACGGTGAACGATATGCTGTGAGGGGGTTGATATTATCGGGGTCCTCGTATAAAAACGCCCAGCTGGCAAGAAGGGAGGATGCGAGTTCGCTGGAGTCACAGTCGGAATTGCGTGCCAAGAAGTTGATGATTATCACAATGGCCGTTGAACCAAAATTACTCCGCCATTCTGAAATACGCTGTGCAGTCTAATCGAAGATATAACATCAGTTAATGCTAGACATAAATCGGCGAACTTACGAGTAAATGTACCACACTGCCGTGAACAACGACAATCTTGAGTTCGTGATATACCACGTTGAAAACGAGCTGGACATGATGGAGCAGTACGTCATCTGGAATGCTCCAGATGTCTTCGTAGCTTCCCACCCACATCATTATGGTAGGGAGGAATGTCTTGGCCCAGCGCTGGTCCGCTTGCATCGCTGGAGGCAAGTCAGCCGTACGATACGCACCGCGTGATTTCATGTGCTCTGGTGCAGTATCCACGTTCGGCTGGCGTTTTCGGGCAGGAGCCTGGGCTTGGGCATGTGGAGTCCCGGAAGATTCAACTTTGACCTTTTTTGGAGCAGGCGGCTTGATGTCGGCATTAGAGGTGGTCGCAGATGTCTATATAAGTGTCAGAATAAACACTATTGAGTTCCAAGGGTACTTACCGAAGTTGTCATGCGCAAAACCTTCTCCTTTTTCACTACGATAGGGTTAGCCTGTGGCGGTTCACTATCGAAGTCCTCGATCAAATCTTCAACATCGTCACGATCGATGTCCATGGACCACTGGGACTGCTCGTCATCGTCTGAGACAGAATTGACACTTGCCTTCCGCTTGAGGGCCGCCGTGGCTATGCGATCGTCCATCTGTGTGAATGGAGCCTTAGGCTCCTGCAAGTCTTCATCCTCTTGCGTGAATGAATCCATGAGCTCATCGTCCGAGTCGAATTCTATTGATGGTATTTGTGTGAAGGGAGCCTTGGGCCCGCCGCAGTCTGAGTCCTCGTCAAAAATTGAGGCTACCTGTGAAGAAAATTGTTAGCGGACTGCACCAATTATTCATGGTCAATTACCTTAGATTTCCCCTTCTTTTGCTTGCTATCCAGGCAAGCAGCCTCACGCTCCAATGAATCGTCAATCTCATCCGCAAAGCCACCAGTAAGGGCATCTTCTGGGATACAATCAGCAACTTGAGTTGGGGGCGGGGGGATGTGAGTCTGAGTCCGAGGCTGAGCAGCTGAGGTTGCTGCTGAGGAAGCAGTGTCATGCGAGAAAATTGACGTTGGAGGTGCTCGGGTTGAAGTGCTGGATTGGCGGGATGATTGGCGGGATACTGACTCCAACTGTCCAGGCCTGACCCCCGAGACCCAGTTGGTCACTCGGCCACCTAGTGCGAATTTCTGAGTGGTCGCGTTGATGCTATATGTAAGATTGAGAAAATAGAGTGTCGATTCAGTTAGGAGCAACATTGTGGTGGTGGGAGAACTAAATCTTACGATGATGGCGTGGAGCCTTTCCCATCAGCACATGCCTTAGGCTTATCGTCGATGCTATTGATATTGATATCGCCTTCTGCAATCAACGTTGACTCGCTGATTTTCTTTTGCACATTGCTGATAGCGTCTCTGATCAATTTCTTTCCACTTCTCTTAGCAGTTTTCTTCCCTTTCCCCGAGGTTCCATGATCCACGGGCTCAGCAGCATCCTCTGCCACATCAGCGTCTGGTACGTCATCTAATACACTATCAGTGCAATTGTCACCTCCCTTTACAGTAGCCTTTGTCGCCTTTCGAGCCTTTGGCTTGGGCCAAACAGGAGTCGCCTTGTTGGTGAGTAACTCCTTCTGTACCTTCTCCATCTCAACCTGCATACCAGCAAGGCGCTCAACTCCCTTTTGGACCGCCGCTTCTTTGGCTTCTTTGGCTTCTTTAACGGCAAGATTGTCAGCAGCCTTCTGTGCCTTGGTGCGCCTCTTGGTTTGTGCGTCGAGCACTATTTTTCCAGGTCTGGCGGTTGCATTCGATGCACGGGTACGGCGGGAAGCTTCTGTGGAAGACATTGTGACTGGGCAGATGGGCGACTTGGGGGTGGAGGGATGGTACTTTTGCTGGAGCAAGAAGGAAGTAACAGAAGTTGGTTGAAAAAACTCGTAAGTCTCACCCCAATGGGCGCCGCCTGTGGCGCTTGCTCACTAATCGGCATCTGTTGAAATATGTCTGATTTGAACTTACTTTTAGTATTACACACCCCCAGCGCCTCTCCACCAGCAATTGTCGAGTGCTCGTGTCGTTTATCTTCCAGCTGGGATGTCTCAGAGTATGCGCAAGGACCACAACGCACTTCAAATTCCATGCGGCTACTTACACTGTGCTCGCTACTTCAAGACTCAAGGAGGGCGCAAAAAGCACTGGAACGTTTCCCACCCAACGTTTAGACAAGCCACTGTCTCGCATACTGTCACAGTCGAAGACGAGCCCAAACTACCAGCCAACGACCCTCCCGCAGGCGACAACGACTACCCTGCTGGACAATAATGACCTTCCAGCAGGTTTGTCTGACCCGGGACAGGCATTTGACAAGTCCAACAATCCGGTCGACGTAGACACTGTTTTTTTCGGGCCAGGTGATAGATTATACCGTAACTATCACCCTAAACTAAACGGTACGTTCTTTGAAGCTTTCTGTTGTGTTGCAACTAACCAGAATTGATATCAGCGCGTCCATGTGATGCAACGGGACACTTCCTTGAAGATGGTGCACCTCCAGCGCCACCTCCAGACAAGTCGCCCAACGACTGGACTCCGTACCGGGATTGTGTCGAGTTTGAGACTGCGGAGTTTCTGTATGCGCGCAACCAAATGTCCGCCGGGGATATCAACATTTTATTGGATCTTTGGGCCGCAACCCTCCTGAAATACGACGACAAGCCGCCGTTCGCAGACTGCCGCGACTTGCATAGAACGATCGACAATACACCATTAGGCGATGTCAAATGGCAATCGTTCAAGGTACGGTACACTGGGGAGAAGCCAACAAGCGATGTACCACCCTGGATGGACCAGTCTCATGATGTGTGGTACCGTGACCCCCATGAGGTGATTCGGAATATGTTGGGAAATCCCGACTACGAAAAAGAGATGGATTACCGCCCTTTCCGTGAGTACTCAGCTGACGGCGACAAACGACAATGGCAGGACTTCATGTCCGGTGATTGGGCTTGGAATCAAGCCGTATGTTTTATTTTGTTGTTTTCTCTAGCGACCCATACTAACAATCTTTGGTAGGACATAATTTGTGAAGATCCGGATACGCTCGGCTCAACATTCGTACCGGTTATACTCGGATCTGATAAGACCACTGTTTCGGTGGCGACTGGCGCGAACGATTACTATCCCTTATACGTATCGATTGGCAATGTGCGCAACAACGTCCGGCGTGCACATCGTGACGCCGTTGCCATTGTTGGTTTCCTTGCTATGCTGAAAAGTAAGTTTCATATGCCTCCTGTTGTTCTGTACTAATTACAATCGAGAAGCTACGAAGGAGCACGCTGCCGATGCAATATATCGGAAATATCGCCGACAATTGTTTCATTCATCCATCGCCAAGATTCTCGAGAACCTGAGACTGAGCATGACCAAACCAGAGGTTGTTCGCTTTGGTGATGGCCACTATCGGCGTGTGATTTACGGGCTTGGTCCGTATATCGCAGATTACGAAGAGCAGGTTCTTCTAGCATGTATAGTGCGCGGCTGGTGCCCCAGGTGTGTTTTTATCCTCTGCCCTCTACCTCAGTACTAACTACTAATGTACTACAGGTGTATGTCCAACCGCAAGAATTTAGATGAGAAGTCGTTGTGTCGGTGTCGTGACCATACGGAGGCGCTGATCGAAGAGGTTGCAACGTCCCTCGCGCTGTGGGACGAGTACGGGATTGTCAGCGACCTTGTTGTAAGTCTCATATATGTCTCTAATGCAGCCGAGATTCACCCTTTCTAGCCGTTTACAAACGACTTCCCTCGCGCTGATATACATGAGTTGATTGCACCGGATCTCCTGCATCAACTCATAAAAGGAACCTTCAAGGATCACTTGGTCGAGTGGGTTGGAAAGTATTTGGTACACGTACATGGTAAGAAAGAGACAGAGAAAATTCAAGATGATATAGACCGAAGGTAGGTCAATTTGTCCTGATTAAATGTTTCAAAACTCACATCATAAAAGAATTGCTGCAGTTTCCTCCTTCGCAGGCCTTCGACGCTTTCCAGAAGGTCGAGGATTCAAACAATGGACAGGTGATGATTCGAAAGCGCTTATGAAGGTAAGTTTTTTGCACAAGTTGATTTTTGCACAAGTTGATCAGACTAACAACAATCTACTAGGTTTATTTACCGCCATCGAAGGCCACGTCCCAACTGATGTGGTGCGCACGTTTCGTGCATTCCTTGAATTCTGCTATCTCGTACGGCATAGCATCATTACGGAATCTACATTATATCAAATCCAGGATGCTCTCGACCGATTCCATCACTACAGGGCTATTTTTGAGTCCACCGGCGTCGTTTCCACGTTCTCCCTCCCTCGACAACACTCGTGCTCCCATTACATCCTCCTTATCCGACTTTATGGTGCGCCGAATGGCCTTTGCTCGTCAATCACGGAGACAAAGCACATCAAGGCAGTGAAGGAACCGTGGAGACGATCGAGTCGCTACAAAGCACTCGGTCAAATGCTGGTGACAAACCAGCGCTTAGATAAACTTGCCGCAGCGCGCGTGGATTTCAAGAGCCGTGGAATGTTGAACGGCACCTGTCTGTCTGCAATGCTTCAAAGATTAAGTAAGTTTTATTGCGCTGTACATTCAAGTGTTGTCGTGTGCTAAATATCTGCGGTAGAGCATTTGTGCTTGAATAAGGATCCTTTTGCCACCAACGAGTCCAACCAAGACAACGACAATCTTTTGGTGCTGCCTTCCAACCCCGACGTTATGATACTCGGCGATAACGAAGAGGGTGAAATCGACGACAGCCCAACGCTGGTACAAGCCCACGTTCAGTTGGCAAAAACGATTCGTAAGTTAGCTCACATTTTCAATTGAATACTTTTCTAATATAATCCTTCCCATTGCGCAGAACGCAAATGTGCATGCACGATCTCTAATTTATCTACAGAACTTGGTATCCCCCATCTCTACACCCTCCTCCGCCGATTCTTATTCGAGCAAGCAAACCCAGACGACCAGCGTGCTCCCTCTGACATCCCGCTTGCAAGATGTCCTCAATTCGATGGAAAAATTCAAGTGTTCAACTCTGCGTCGTCAATGTTTTATGCACCCAGTGACCGCAGCGGGATTGGCGGCATGCGGCGGGAACACATCCGTGCCTGTCCCGTTTGGAGAAACGAAGCACCCCGGTATGACTGCGTGTTCGTTAACACGGATGCAGGTGTTGAAGGGATGGGGGGCATGGAGGTAGCCCGTATAATGTGTTTTTTTTCATTCACATTTGAAGGTATTTCGTACCCATGCGCTGTAGTACGCTGGTTCGACAAAGCCAGCGACGGGCCCGACGAAGACACAGGGATGTGGATCGTCCAGCCTTCATTTGATACAGATAATTCACCGTTCGTTGGAATCATCCACGTCGACTCAATCTATCGCGCCGCGCACCTTGTTCCAATCTATGGAACACAGTTCATCCCACGCGACCTCAAGCACTATGATTCGTATGACGCTTTTCAAGCATTCTACGTGAACAAATTCGCAGACCATCACGCATTTGAGATTGCGTCTTAGGAACTCGGTGAGCACAACTAGACCACGTTGCCTACTATCACTCACAAGCAAGCGATCGAGGAATTTGACGAGCGTAACTACCACCACTCACAAGCGAGCGATTGAGGAATTTGACGAGCGTAACTACCACCACTCACAAGCGAGTGATCGAGGAATTCGACGAGCGTAACTACCATCACTCACAAGCGAGCGATCGAGGAATTTGACGAGCGTAACTGCCAACTGGAGCCCCCCTCGAAGAAGAATTCGACGAGCATAACTGGCCTCAGAACTCGTCACCAAATCCCCCCCCCCCCTTCCCCCCCCCCCTTAATCTAGATGGGCCGTGTAATACTTATTTCACTTATTTTACTTAATTCAACTTTTGCCACTTTTTTGAATCATTGTGACTTGTGAGATTGGGCGCACGCTGAATTGACTTTTGAGAAAGTCCATTAAGTGTAAAAAGTGACGTTTTGGTTTCATTTCTCCGAAATTAAGTGGCATTAAGTAAAAAAAGACACCGGAGGCTTTCCTGATGTGTGTCACCTCAAGCATCGGTTGAGATCAGGGCATCCTTAGAGCTCAGTCGGATGCTAGGCAATGGAGAACTTATTGGAAAACTTGAAATGTCTTGGGATGAACTGCTCGATCACGGAGATGAGCCTTTCGGTGAGTGACCCGCTTCTGATTCACGTATATCTACTAATGGGTCGTAGATTTGTCCTTCCCACTCGTTCACGGTGTTCACCCTTCCCTCACGCTGAAGGCCGCATCTGTGAATAATTGCGGAAACAACAACGGTGAACTGTTGAACGTGAGTGACGCCAGCCTTTGCACTGTCGACTTTTACTGACAGATTGCAAACTGTCGACTTTTACTGACAGATCGCAAACTGTAGTCCATCGTTGACTGCGAGATTGCTCGAGACACGGATGTGGGTCACACAAGAATTGGTGAATACGTGACAAGCAAGAGGGTCTCTGACCTGAACGATGCCGTGGCACATTTTGAGTTGGTTCTAGAGCGGTGTCCGGTCGACCACCCTGACCACGCAGCTGCACTGACCAACTTCGCGTACGCACGCCTCGAAGGGTACATTCACAAGGATCGTCAAGATATCGACTCTACTACCTGTCTTTTCCGCGACGTTCTTGCATTGCGTTCGCAGGGCCACCCTGTTCATCCTTCATCTCTATACCATCTCCTTAAAGCATTGATCTGGCGCTACAGTCAGGAGCTTGCCGCTGTCGACATCCGCAAATCTGCTCAAATCTACCACGAGCTACTCCCTCTCTGCCCAGAGGGCACATATCTTCGGACCAGCGTGGTAGGGGCTGGTGGCTTGGATTATGTTATTAGCGAGTGCAACAATCTTCCGATAGACGCATCCGATGAAGACATCCGCCTTCGACGAATCGTACTCGAGCTCTGTCCCCAGGGCCATCAACACCGTCCGAGAGCCCTTAACCAGCTTTCGCTGTCACTCATGATACGTTTTAGCCAATGTGGGAGCATTGTTGATATAGACGAGAGCATACAACTTGGTCGCGAAGCTGTTTCTCTGTGTCCCGAGGGACATCCTGATTGTGGTCTCTACTTGAATAACTTGACTTTCTCACTCCGCTCCTACCGCTTTCGTCACCAGGGCAAATCTGATGACCTCAACGAGGCCATCTCTCTGTATGAGGAAGCACTGTGCCTGAGCCCTGTTGGGCATGAATCTCGTGATGCACTATTGGACAACCTAGGAGGCGCCCTCCTCGACCGTTTCAAGCAATGCGGTGAGGTAGAAAACATCAACAGAGTTATCAGCCTCTATCGCGAGGCACTGACATTGCGCCCACCTGGGCATCAAGACCGTGACACCACACTTTGCAACCTTGCCGTCGCGCTCCAAACCAGATATGGCAAATCACATGCCAAGGAGAATCTTAACGAGGCCATCGAGTTGTACCGTGAATCAATTCGGTCAAGGCAGCATGATGATCCAGAGCCCCATAAAACTCCTTTAAATTTGAGCTCGGCACTCTGCTCTCGTTTCACGAGAACTCAGAAGATTGAAGATGTTGAGGAGGCCATTAGGCTCTGCCAAGAATCATTGGTGGCTTTGCCATCACTGCACCCAGATAGGTACTACAGCTACATGTGGCTGCAGGAGGCCTATCTGTCTCGTTACGAGGTGCAATGCAATTCGGCTGATTTGTCACTCGCTGTTGAAAACTTCAGATTGGCGTCAACGCACCCCACTCAAGGATTCCCAGAACGCACCCAAGAGGCCATTGATTGGGCTTGTGAAGCAGAAGTCTATCAACACGGATCTGCCCTCGAAGCATACCGAACATGTTTGGATCTTTTTGACAACCATGTAATGACGCGGTCCTCAATTATCTCGCGGCGCGATGCTGCAGCTGCATTTCGCGGCGCACAATCACTGCCCGTAGATGCAGCTTCATGCGCTATTCATCATAATGATCTGCGAGGAGCGGTTGAACTCGGGGAGCGGGGTCGCGGTCAACAATGGTCGATGGCCTCTCGACTCAGGACTCCATTGGATGACCTCAAGTTTGCAGGTCAGTCACTAGCTCACAAACTCTTGGAGCTCAACAAGCGCCTGTCTGATGCTCAAGGTCCTGCAGGCAGCACAGATCGAGCTGCTGCTGACCGGGCAGTGATAGAATATAGGAAAATCATGACGGAATGGGAAGCTACGGTTGCGGAGGTTCGCAACATTCAAGGTTTCTTGCGGTTCCTCCTCCCTCCATCGTATGAAGACTTGCAAGCGGCAGCGAATGATGGCCCAGTCATCATCCTTATCGCGAGCAAATACTCGTGCAATGCCCTCATTGTCCTGACATCAGGACAACCGCATCATGTTCCCTTCCCTTCTGTCACTCTCGCAGATCTCTCAAAGCTCAAAGACGACTTCGCGATGGCGATACGACATGCATCGCTGATGGGCCCAACAGAGTCGCGGACGGAGTTGATAGTACTCTTGCGGAAGGTATGGGACGAGATCATGCTACCTATCGTCAAGGTACTACTCAGGCATGATCTCAAAGTCAAGCCCCGCTCTCGAATCTGGCTATGTCCAACTGCAGCATTTACCTCCATTCCTCTTCACGCAGCTCATCCCTCTCGAACGAAAGCAGACAGAAGTGGGCGGGAACTATCCCTCGAGGATATTTATGTTTGCTCTTACACCCCCACACTTTCGGCTCTCATCAGATCTCGACAGGCAATGAAGACGATGCGGCGTGCAACTCCATCGGTCGTGGCGATTGGGCAAAGTCAACCAGGCGCAGGGCAAGGCACGGCGCTCGCCACTGTTGACAGTGAGCTCGAGCTCGTCCATAAACTCCTTCCCCCCAATGTCAAGTTCACCAGTCTTTCTGGAGAAAAAGCTACACAGGCTGGTGCGCTCGATGCTTTGCGACGCAACACCTGGGTGCACCTCGCCTGTCACGGCAAGCAGGACCGCGAACAGCCTTACAATTCGCGATTCGCCATGAGGGACAAACCTCTCACCCTCCTTGACATCATGGAGAATGACACTCCGCAAGCTGAATTCGCATTCTTATCGGCGTGTCATACCGCCGTCGGCGACGAAAACACTCCCGACGAGGCCATCCACCTCGCAGCTGGCCTGCAGTTTTCAGGGTTCAAGAGTGTGATTGGCACGCTGTGGGTGGTCGATGACGAAGTCGCCAAGCACGTTGTTGAAGCATTCTACGAGAATATGTTCAAGGACTTGAAGGACGGTGTCTTGGACTGTACGAAGGCAGCCAAAGCACTCAATACTGTAATCTTTTTTTTTTGTGCCAGACAAAATGACAATGAAAAGACAATGAAAATTTCATGAATTGTGCTGCGTGATCGATCGATCGAGAACATCAAACGAGAACATCAAACTACAATACATTAAAGTGCGCCATACCCTTCCTCTGCAAGCACATCATCATCCAGCTCCTCTCCTTCATCTGCTATGACTCTATCCTCGTCATCATCATCATCATCATCTTCTTCATCACTCTCGCTGTCAACATTGTCCAAGTCATTCTCGATGTCTTCCCATTCCTCTTCCTCTGCGTCAGGCACATCATCATCAGCTTCTTCCGCTTCCACTTCTTTGGCTTCATGTTGCTCGAGTTGGAGAATGTCATCCCAGTCTCTGGTAGCTTTGTGGCCAATTCCGCCACCACGGAACCTCATGAACATATCTCGATCTACAAATCTATATGTTGTGTAGATATGTCAGCCTATGTAGCTAGAATAAATAAAATAAAATGCGCACATATTAACATAGTGAAATCGGCAGTCAGACTCGAGATCTTGAGGATCTATGCGATGTTGAAAACTTGGAATTAAATGAACCCCGCGAATGACAGAGTCCGGATCCAAAAATCCATGTGTGTCAGGGCTGTCTCAATCAAAAAATTTGAGGCGCTGGAGTCATTTTGCAGCCCAACCTGCAGGTGTTACAGGGACCCTCAGACCCCTATCATCTCCGCCAAACATCGCCGTCACAACCGCGTCACAACACGTGACAGATGACATCACCGGCATGTGACTAGACTGCAGAGCACAGCATGACAGCTGTTGGAGCAAGACAGCTCTGGAACCGACCTAGACCGGGATCAATAGAAGCCGCGCACTTCTCCCTTATCGCCTCTACCGATACACTGGTACTGACTATCGTTTATCCTATCGCTTATCATGACAGATAGCATTATCTGACTTGGACACCTACCGCTGTGCCGGTACCATACCCTGGACCCTTACCATTGAACCGGTACTCTTATCTCTGAGTCCTTATGACTCACATAGACGATTACCTAGTTGGGATACTCTCTGGCTACCCAAGCCTACCCTGAACCCATAGGACGATACCTATATATACCCCAGTAGTTAGACCATGTATTTCTCTAACTTGATCTTCACTTGTGATATACGACTCTAGCTTCTTCTTTGAACCTTTAGTCAGTCATTCTGGATGGACAGCCTCCATTCAGTCTTCCATCGTCCTGGTGCTCCATGAAGCGGACACGGGATCGACCCTATCAAGTGCACTGTTGGAAAGCCGGGCTTTCCCGTAACAGCAGGCGAATTATCCCTTCTGAACCATCGAACGAACAAGAAGTCCATCCAAATTGGTTCAGAATACATCCTCGTGTCGTCCTCACAGTATTCCACGTTGATATGAAAGATGCCGATCATGCGGGCGTACCAGTACGGGTGAGTCTTCTCATCTTCGTGGGAGAGAACCATGATATTGGCACGAGTGTGGGGATTGATGGTGTCCTGTTTGCGTCGTAGATCGTATGTTGTATAGTTGATGCATAAAATGCTATGGTGGTATATTTTGTTGTCAGTAAACAACACTGAGGTACAATCAGCATCAGAGAAGTCATGCTCATCTCCATCATATGTGAGATTGTGAAGCTGAGCAAGAAGATGGTCCTTGAGTCGTGGAATGAACTCCTGATAAAATTAATGAAAGCGTGAAAATGAAAATCTAAAAAAAGCTTACCTCAATAGCCAGATCACACAAGTCTCCAATGTCTCTGCGCTCAATTAACCAGGAGGCGATGTCATCATTTGCCCGAGCATATTTGGCAATGGAGTAGTGATCAGAGGGAGACATTTGTGTGCGCCATGGTCTCGGATTCTGCTGTGCTGCAAGTGCAGTGATCACCTTCTCAATGAGGCGTTCTTGCGCTTCTTGAGAAGTCATGCTGATCAAAGTTTGATCCTTTTTCTTGGCTGTGCGAGGGTACCGGCACTTTGATCGACAATGCTCGAGTTCTCCCTGTTGGATATTAATTATTGAATGAAAAACATAATGAAAAGAAGACTTACTGGTTGTGTGGAATAGCTATCTGTAGTACCGACTCGCCGGATAGTATTAGGATAGTCAGCGAGCACGTGGTATTTGTAGGTGTAAAGATTCAATGCCTTCACCTTTGGGTTTGATGTAGTAGACTTGCCGATCGTTGCAGATCCCGCTTGTTTTGAGGCTAATGTAGCCTGACGTTTTCCATGGGTGGCACACTCTTGGGGAAGTTCTGTGGTGTGATAATGTGCGCAAGTCGTGCGCTGAAATTTGCGAACCGATTGACTGAGGATTACAGTAGCAGAGTCAAAAAAAGCCAGAGTGTCGTCAGTATGTAGGTGTAGTTTTGCATATGCGTGCCAGGTTGCAAGGTCGAAGAGGAGGTCGAGAATGATCGTGTTCTGATCGGGGGGGGGGGGGGGGGGGGGGGAGAAGTCCTTCGAATACAGGAATAGCGCACTAGAAATGAAAAATACATCAGTTCATTGTCAAATTCTGATCCAGGATCAATCTCACCTGTAAGAGATCTTCGAAATCGTGGGCTGCAAGACGCTTCATTGCAGAAGTGTTCTTGTGGAACCGTCTGATCGTTCCTCTACCAAAAGTAGGAATTTGACGGTACCTGTATGTAGTCAGTTAAGTGTTGTACTATTTCAAAAAGCATTATGACATACCTGTAATTGAGTTCTTGAACCGCTGAACCACCCGCAGCGAACAGAATGCGCATCAGATGTGTGAAAATCGCTTTCCACACACCGAGCTCGAACTCGTGAAGTAAGTCTACTACGAACATCAAAAAAAAATTGAATATATATTTGAGAAACCATGTTGAAAATGCGTTCTGATATGAAGTGATCAGATATAAATCTAAGAATGATGCGCAGATTACTTACCTGAGTTGGAACTAGCGACTCGCCTTGCAGGATCTTCTTGATCTGTTGTCCATTGATGCCGACACCGTGCTGAAAATAAGCCTGTGGGCTTTTTCAACTTTGCGATGACGTTGTTCATCATCAACATGCTGAGTTGCCTGGCGGTTCTCGAGATCAATCTTCATGCCCATCTTGGGGACGTCTTCTTTCTTGATCAGGCAGCGGGGGCAAGGGCATTCGCCAAGGAACTTGATGCAAGCCAGCAGAATCCTGTATTAATAGATATCAAATGAGATATGAACCTAAAATTTAAGATTAAAACACGTACTTTTCAGGATAGTCTGCCAAGTAAGTAAAGAAGTGGGGGAAAACATGTTGAGTGATCCCATCCCCGCATCAAATGATGATGCCATTTTTGTAGGCGTCCATGAAATCTTCGTCCAGTAGAAGCGCCCATATGGCTTGCATTAGTTCGCGCTTGCAGTGAGTATAGATGTCACTGGATGATGCCTCATCAAAGAAACGGCTGTAATGGTCTTGGAAGTCATCAGGAAGCTTAATAGGTCAAAATTACCATAATCAAATTAATAGAATGCAAATGAAATGGAACATACGTTTGGAATATATGCAACATGATGGCATGCGGATGCTGTCAGCTTGCCTCGTGTGTACTTGGATTGATTTCCAAAGCACAGGTAGAAGGGCCAGAGCGATGCATCACCGAAACTAGCCAGGTGAGTGCTGTCAGACCACATCATTAGCGAGGTGACAACTCGCTCGAGGTTATTGCCTGGATCTCGGGGAAGCACATTAATTTCCACGTGGGCTTCTAGAAAGGCTGGTGAGGAATATGCCTTGCTATAGACATTGATGGTGCGCCCTTCAGAGATCTCCCATCGTTGATGGAAAGGTGTCAGATGGAAGGTGGACACAATGCTGTCCTCAAAGACAGATCTAATGATGTCAGTGAGGGAGCAGTGATGAACACCGGTGATATCTAATTCAGGGGCATCTTCTTCTGATGGGAATTTTACCTTTTCCTTGGGCAGGCATATTTTGACTGATGAGCAGCGCCAAACATTTTCCATGCAGAATGGATTAGATCTGTCCTTGAGATACTCTTTGATGAGCCTCTTTTCTCGGACATCATCGAAAATCCACATATCTTCTCTCCCGTATTCATCATCATTGAGAAATAACCTAGTGAGGCATTTCATTTTGGCGCTTGACTTAGAGTTTGCACCAGAATACTGCCAGCACATGAGAAGCCCTGCGGTCGGGCTGCTAAATGGGGAGAATAAATCTTCCGAGCTGATTTCTTGGGAGGGAAGCCCGGGAACGATCTGAGATTGCGCCAAATGAGAATTGCCCCAAGTTTCGAAGGTTGGGGCATCAGCAATCGCATCCAGGCCTTCATTTCCAGAGGGCATGAGGGTGGGTTTTTTGCGCATAGATGTGGAAGAGACCCAGTGAATTTGGTGCAGTCTGGTAAGTGATGAGTATGGGCTGGTGGTTGGGGGGGGTCATTGATGAGTCGGTTGGGAGGACTATCTGGAGGAGGAGGGAAATGTGGGAGATTGGTAGGTCCTGTTGGGATATAGTCCACATAACAAGCAGGCATGCGGATTCATCACCCGGAACACGCAGAATTGATGGCAGGATCATCAGGGATTGGTGAGATTGGTGCGCTGGCGTCAGTAGAAGCTCCAGCAGTATTTTCGTCCTATTAGTTGTAAAATTAGACAAACCGATCATTCAATATAAAATGACTTACCTCGTGCATATGATCATGATCGAGCCATTGATAATTGTCAACATCCATTTGGTCTTCAGGACTTAGTCGATGAGCATTGCAGCTCGTATCTCCGCCTTCTGGTGAGGAAGATGCGTTGGGAGCCGTGACACGTTGCCTTTTTTTCTTCTGGCACATTTGCTTCTCCAGACGGCGCTGCTGTTTATAGACGTCAGCATCCAAACTCTTACTGGCATCACACCGAGCCTCATGATTACTGAGACTTTTCTGAGTCATGAAAGCCTTTGAACACCCAAGGCAGGTGAGGCCGTCCATGGGATGCACACTCAGATCCAACATGAATACAAACTTTAGATTGTATATTGCATCATAGTTAATAACAAATTCAAGGACTTAGCGGTAATAGGTAGTAGTGACCCTGCTTCCCGCAACTCTTCTCCAAATGAACACAACTCCCTGCCTAAGTCCTTGCCTGCACCATCGCGCATGGCCCTGCTATCAGCACCTGCATGGTATGTTAACATCCTCAAGCAATTATAGATGCACCTATACCAGTCTGGATGAAGCCATCAGTGCTTCTAGTGCCATATAGAGTGGTTGGCAGTGCGCGATCATGATTGTGGACTCAGATATGAAGAAGAGACAACTTGGACTTAGAGATTGAGCAGACACAAGGTGAATCACGTGATATCGGATATTGAAAATTGCCTTTGTTAATTAGATTCTGATCACACGACTTCTTCTACTGATATCACTGCATCACATCTTAAGCATGCTGCACAAACATCATTTCAGATCCCCCTCAGCTTCAGAGAGCAACACCAGCAGCGACTCTTCAATTTCCTTGATGGACCGCATAGAACTTCGCCCTAAGAAGTCGTCTAAAAGACGCGGGTGCAAACCTGATAAAGATGATCGAAAGGCCAAGTAAGTCTAATATTCAAATTCCTTTGCGCCGAGATCCCTAATACAATCTATGACCAGGAAAACCAAGATCTCAAAAGAGAAGGGGGACTCAGAATTCGAAGTCCAAAGTCCAAGAAGAGTTTCTCGCGGCAGCACGTGCCATGGCACGTTGTGTCAATTTATTTTGCAACATTGAGAAACTCTTAAGGGTAGGTCTACTCCTACAGCAAGAGCATGCCGTGGAGAATGGAGAATTAGAAGAGTCAGAGGCCGAGCGCGAATCCCGTCAGAAAAGGCTTGCAAGTCTGTAAGTCCTTTTTTTTAATTTTGCAAAGTCTATACTAAGATGTTTTTTCTAGTTCAACCAATACCCTCGATCGGTACAAGTGCAACTATCAGCAGTTGCTTCAACTGGCTCTGGGACTCCGATCACTTATTACTGATCACGCGAAGTCCAAGGATCTCACTCAGATCGCACACAAGGTGAGTATATGCTGCTTATATGTGCATATATCGTGTACTAACATACTAATTAGATGAATGCTGTCATTAGTGGGACACGTTCCGACGACACAACTCGTTTGAAGGTCCAAATCAGACACTATGTGGCGCCCGAACCTTTGAAAGAGGGTCTGAAGCCTACCATCTACAATGGCGGCTCACTGTCCAGGGCACATATGGGCATCAACCACCCTGTGCTTGCTTCTTTCCTCTGTCTTATTTTGGCACTTGCAGATTTCAACTGAGATCCCATTTTGTAAGTACTCAATTTGTGATATTTGCGATCATCTGATGAGTTCTCTTAGGGCCCGAAAATGGATGGAGATCGGGCATATTCGCATGACCACAATCAACTTTCCGGTGTTCCTGTGGGCCGGAAATCCTCCTGGAAGTAGGTATGATGAGGACATCATGAATGAGGGCCTATTCCAGGGTTATTTCCTTGAGTGTGTAAGTTTTTCAATTCATTATATGCGTCTATCTTATTAACATTTTGATTTACTAGATAATGCGGCATATTTTCACAGGTCCTTCCACTGCTTTAGGTGACGACTCGCGCGCTACACGATTGTGCAATGCGTCCCTGCATGATATGTCTACTGTCGAGGTGGAGCATATAGCATACACTTGTGTTCAGGCAAGTTTTTATTTATTTATTGGTTTATATCTAACAAATTGTTTTAACATAGGCACGCTTCGCTATCAGTAATAAAAACAAATGGGCCGAAGCCGACGGTGAATTCAATAACTGGGCCTTTTACTACAACATAATCGACTTTATTCGTGAGTGCGAGGATCGAGATTGGGCACAGGGACTTCTTAAATGGTGGAACAAGTAAGTTTTCTCTGTTCCATTAATTTAGCTAACTATCTACTTCTATCAAGGGTGTTATTCAAGAATGATAATGGACACGAGGGCAGAACAGCCATAACCGACGACGACATGTCCGGGTCGTCTTTGGGTCCAGTCAACGGTCTTGCCAAGATGCAAGCACAGATGGCCACTCGTGTCAATACTTCCAGAGGACCTGCAGCACCCGAACTTCCTATCCCAACACCACCTCAAAGTTCTGTCACCCTAGATCCTGAACTTCCTCCACTGCCAATTGTTTGCTCTCCCAGGCCCTTGCAGAAGGCCCCCGTCCCGCCAAAGTCACCTGCATCCAGCAAACTGATGTCAGACGACGATGAAGACTTACTTGACTCGGAAGATGTCAGTACCATCAAAAAGGGGAAGAAAAAAGTGCCGAAGATCAGTGGTAAGACTAGTAAGTGCCGCATGATAGAGGAATCTGGCAGCGACTCAGAGGACGAGGAACTGGCCAAGCCAACCAAAGGTCGCCCCAAACGTGTGTCGCGCAGGAAATAGATAGTATCGGTATGTTCATTTTGCCTTATACTTATGTCGTCACTCATATTCTATGATTGAGGTATTAGAATTTTCATTTAATCACTCGCTCTAGGCTTCCTTCGGATCATGGAAGAAGACTCTTATCGCTCTGGACTCAGCAACCGCTTCTCGAATCACCGCATTTTCAAATTGGACTTTGCCTCATTGCATCATTGACTCTAGACTATCATTCTCGCACTGGGACTTTCGCTGTCGTGCTCTCATTGTTACCTCTGTCACCTCCAGACATTTCTTTCCATGCTGTCTCAGTATTCTCTCATTCAGTCATATCCTGCTAGTTCACTAGGTTCCTTACATTACAGCGCTTTAGAATACCTTGTACTCTCTTTATGATACTCAATATCAGACTTTAACTGGCTATCTCTGTGTGATTTACAATGTCTGAATAATCTAATTGAGATAATAATCTATTTACCCGGAACACGTTGTACTTGGGCCGTCCATTGGACTTATCAGGTTCCAAGTCTGCTCAGACATACCTAACCTTAACCCTGACATAGCAGACAGTGCAGACAGTGCAGACATACCTATATATGGCAATGTCACGCTTATGCAATTTTTGTGATGTCGCTGCAGTACTTTGGTGCATCACCTAATGCATCATTGATGCATCACTTATGCCATCCCCAATAGGTATGGGAACTTCATCACTACACCCAAAACATAACCATTTCCGGTCATCTCCTGGATCTCAACATTTCCCACACTGCTCCCCAGCACATTCCTGCCCACCACCATACCACATCCACCTGTCTACTGTAGAAAATGATTAGTGTATGATATGTACATATAATAAGTCACAATAGAACACTTTTTTTGTCTGTTTTTGTCCCAACACAAGCTCCAGAAACCTACACATATAATACAGGAAAAAAACATATCAAAAACACATTCGCATTTTTGCCCCTTCAATGGTAGAATGTCTTAACACACTATTTATGTGTTTGCTAGTATATTTGAGCCTAATCCACCGCTTTTTTGACCCTCTGAAGGCCCCTACACCACCAGATGTAGCATGCACACAAAAAATAACAAATAGCTTCACACTTTTTCAGTTTTAACTATATAGACTTGAAAATATGATCCCTAGAAGCTTATAGAGATCAGCGATGTCTTGGCAGTGACTCAGTATACTTACTACTGGTACTTCTATTGCAAAGGGGTCACCAAAATTCCTTGATTATTCCTCAATTTCATGGTGACTCGCGAGGAATATTTCTCAATGCAGCACAAAACGAAAATGATAGAGATCAGTCTTTTTTTCTTCTCAGCGGCAACTACTACGCACTGTCACTTCCATTGCAAAGAAATATCTCATTTGCGAGGAACGATTTCTGCGGGTGATGCATTCGGGTTCGATTTGGTTGATTTCTGATATTTAGTGCTGATGCTGATCTGTTCATAATTCTATCTTCGTCGAGAATGGACCTTGGAGCTAGGAATCGTTTCAGACCACTAGGCTAGATATGGCGCCCACATTATCTTCGCTTGTGAGTCCACCTGCTGTAAAAACTTACAATCTTCACTGTCATTTTGGATGCAGTGGAATATCCGTCAACTTCACCTCATCGGATTTAAAAGAGGGGTGAAGGACATGTCACAGTCCAGATCTGAAGCTAGTGGGTCGAATAAAGTTGAAGTTGAAGTTTGAATGTTAACACTTACTACAAGGGGGCTGACTGGCATTATGAAAGTGTCCCTCATGCAACAATGCAGTATCTTATTTAATCACCACTGAGAAATCGACTGATATCTATAAAAGCCCTCTCATACCACATAACAAACATTCCTCGCAAGCGAACACAAGGAATGTATGTAACTTCTTTTGCAATGGAAGTGCCAGAGCGATGTACCTGGCAGCTTTGTCACAATGGGGAATCATGAGGCGGTGAGTTACAGTAACAGCATGGTTCACCTGGATGGGTGCTCTGGACAGCAGAATGCCAAGCCTGCACGGACGCACATAAAAAAGATGCTGCAATCGCAGGGTTGAAGACCAATTCACTCTCATTCCCTCATCACCAACAACAAATTGAATAGCATCATGCCAGTATCTGTGATGGTCCACGGTGCTCTTAGACATGTCACGACCAACCAGATGTTAACGTCACTGGGCAATGTCACGGCAGCCGCACTTGACGACGATGACTTTTCCCCGCCAGATATGATGGTAGGCTTCTATTATATTGGAGAAACGAGCTGAGCCTGGTGCTGACAAGGATATCAATAGTGGAAGGTGACATGTACATATGTCCTCCTGGTTGCAATGGTGGTGGATCGGATCACCCAGGAGGGGGGTATTTTCCTCAGATGGGATGTTACTGTCAGTCTCTGCGAGATAAAGTGTTCTGATTCGAATCTCACCTATTTTCCAGAACCCCAGGAATCCGACGATGCTCGATGGCGGCGGCGAATTTGTTTGGCAGTGTGGCCAACTAGTACAAATTCTTGGAGGTCAACAGGTATCGTGCATATCAGGTGGTCATTCAAACCTGTCTCAGACTGCTGATGTGGACATTATGATAGTTTGCAATTCACTTCCACTCCCCTCCCTGGCATCAATGTTGATCGTTACTTGAGGGTCCAACAACAAGGTGGTGTAGGTCACATAGCCTTCATGTACCATAACTGTACTGACACATCATCATCATCATCATGCACCTCAGAATTTTGTTGTCAAAGTGGCAATTGTACAGCCAGGTGAGGTGATCCCCCTCGATGGGCAGTGGGAGTGGGTGGTCTAGATGTGTTGGCAATTGTTGATATCTGAGAGATTAGCTAGGCTGTGTTCTACAAATGTGTACTTCTATATGTTACTGTTGAGATCCGAGGCAAAATTTTGTCCCATGCAGAGAATCTGCCAGTGAGTATTGGAGTAAAGCAGTACAAGCGGAGCTTACGACGTATGCATGTAAGCTTACCTTGTATTCTAAGCGAGTCCGAGGCATGAGGACGAACATAGAATGTCATCTATGTGGCAGATGTCCTTTTCGGGACATCTCTTCTTTGCTTTGTACTACTATGCAATCTCTCCATACCCGTCAACTCTTAGTTGTCGTACTTGTTCTTTCACCTTCTTTCAGACCAAGTTTATCTACTATAATACTTTTAATATGCCCCGCATACCCAATGACCCGAATCTAAGTGTCTGTCCAGACTACGCAGACCCTGCATTCGCTAACACGAGGCTTCAACTTACCAATGAGAACATAAATGAAGCTCAAGCTATTCTGTTACTCAAGAACATTTGGCAAGCTGATAACGATGCTGCCAGAGCTCAGTGGCAGCTCCAGGTAGAAGAAGACGCAGAACGCCGACAACACCTAGAACAGCTGAACCACGAGGAGCAAGAAAGGCTAGAGCAAGAGCGTCTCAACGATGACAAGACAGCACGCAAAGAAGACAAGAAAAAGAATAAGTTCAAATACACTCCCATTCCTAATCTTGATGTCCCTATGAAACCAACTATACTCCCTTCCCCATATGTGGTTCGCAAACTCGACAAGGGCGACTATGTAGAACTCTGGTATTTCACCAACGCAGGCCTAGATGACGCAAAACTCAAAAGTTCCGTTGACGAAGACGCCATGATCATGGCAACCTTAGCAGGAGGCAACACAGCTTGGGTCTCAGCCACATTGATGCGGAATACCTCTACTGTCATCGACGACCAGAACCTCTCATTCAAAGACTTTTGTCAAGTGTGCCCTCGCATCATCTCTGCAATGGAAGATGCCTCCTGGCCTGATGATCACATAACCATGATGGCCAAGTTTTAGCGAAACTTACAGATTCATGATTTCCGATCAATGCGCGATCCTTTAGTGCAAAGATCCTTACTCGTTTATCAAGCAGAGCAATGGCAACGCTGGCACCTGGCTGTCAAAACCGCCACAGGCACATATGATCTATCTTGCATAAACGAGGTGCTCTTGGAACGCACGAGAAACAATGTATACCTCGACGAGTGTCAGAAGCAGGATAATCTTCGTGATTACAAGGTCAGTTATCCTCATCTCATTAACGCAACAGACCATACGCTAACAGAACTTTTGCTTCTTGTTTATTATTGGACCATATACCGAATCATGCATATATCGACTGACACTGCCACGCACCACTTGCCACATGCCACACGCTCCTTGCCACATGCTACATGCCTCACCACATGCTTCGCATTTCTGCTACACACTTCATGCTCCAGCTATACGCCACTTAATCACTACACCCTAGATGGACCAAAGAATGAACATCTCCACAGCCCCGTCATTGGCAAATCGAGGCAGAGAATACCCATGTTCTACGCGAGACTCGCACAGACGCTCTGCTTCACCATGTCAAGGACAAGATACCCGTTGTCGATCAACTTCACCCGCACCATACAGACAGTCACGCCAGGTTTTTTGGGCAGGCGCAAACAGAAATCCCTTGTCCATTTGCGCCATATGCCTTGGAAGACACCTGCACAAAATTGTCGAGTGCAAAGTGTCAAAGACGTGGGACAGTGCTTCCGATACCTTATGCACTCGGGTCAGCAAAATCCTCACTATGCGAAACGGTCGACAGATCTGCAGCGACTGGCAGTGGGTCGCAGGTTGCAGCGACAACATGCACAACAGTCATCATTTCTGCTCAGGATGTGCCGCTTCTTCCCATGGAGTACAAGCATGTGCTCGAGCACAGAAAGCATAAAGCCCTTACCCCATATGATCCCGACACATGGGAACTGCATCTCACTCAAACCGGACTCATTGATAGATATGCTCATATTCCCAAAGGACTTCATCGAGGTTTTAATCTTAATTTTCCTGTCATTACTAGTACCCAAGCGCCTCCAAACAAAGACTCTATTGTTACCTATTCAGATGAATTTCAATCTATTATCAAATCGGAAATCCAAAAAGCACGCTACATTGGTCCATGTACCGCTAGCGAAGTCGAGTCTCTCATTGGCCCATTTCAATCTTCTCCATTATCTATCATCCCTAAACCAGGCAAACCAGGGCGCTTCCACGTTATCCAAGATTACTCATTCCCCCATGCATACTCTATCAAATTTTCTAATCCATCAATTAATTCATGCATCAATCCAGACGACTTTCCCAGTACCTGGGGAACTTTTCATACAATCTCACTAGTTATCAGCCGCTTACCACCTGGATCCCAAATCACTACAAGGGACATATCAGAAGCATATTGAACAATTCCATTACATCACTCACAGTGGCCAGGCGCTGTGGTTTGAATATCGGACACACACTTTTGCATCGATACATGCACATGTTTTGGAGTGTCGCCTTCAGCAGGAGCCTACGGCTGCATTGCAGACACTGGTCTTGACGTTTTTAGATCTGAGGGTATCGGACCCATATCAAGGTGGGTTGATGACCACTTGTTTTTCTGTATTCACAAAGAATTCCTCGCTGCCTACAACGAACAGCGGCTCCAATGGCATAAGGATATTTTGGACAGAGGTAGTCACCAGGATGGAGGTCGCATGTGGTTTGGAGGTCACACTTTCGATGATGGAACCATCAAACAGTTTGATGAAGATTGTAGATTTCCCATGCGGGATCTTTCAAATGCTTCACCACAGTCACAGGAAGACAAAGCATTTACATTCAATTTCAATGACATCAACAGAGCCTCCACGACCACATGCATACCGTGGGAACCTCAGAAAGACATGCACTTTGCCGATCACAACCCTTATATCGGTTTCTTTTGGGATCCCGAGCGCAACGTGGTTTACCTTTCGGAAGAAAAGAAGTCAAAGTACAGCCGTGTGATACAGAAGTGGCAAGAACGTGAGAATCACGTACTTAGAGATGTATAAAAGCTTCATGGTAAACTCATTCACGTCTCACTGGTATATCCACAAGGACGCGCTTATCTCATGAGGTTGGAGGTGATGCTCCAGATTTGCTATAAGAACCCATTTATGCCACACCAATCGGTTAACAACCTGCCAGAGGACATTACTTGGTGGGCAGGTCTTTTGCAGGAAGTCTTTATCAGATGTGACATTCCCCAACCACTCACTCTGCATGATCCAAAGGCGTTCTCAGATGCCAGCTCAGGAGTCGGAATCGCGGTCATTATTGGAAGTCAGTGGAGAGCTTGGAGATTACACCCTGGCTGGACCACTCTCAATGGACAACAAGATATTGGTTGGGCCGAAGCAGTCGGCTTTGAGCTTCTCATTCGACACATTATCGCCTTGGATAGACCGGAACAACACTTCCGAGTCTATGGTGACAATCAAGGAGTCATTGAAGGTTGGAGAAATGGGCGCAGCTGCAACGCAGCCGTTAACGAAGTCTTCCGTCGCATTTTCGACATCATACACGAATTACCATCTACACACTCTTTCCACCCAGTATACACCGCCAGCAGATCCAATCCAGCAGACCCACCCTCATGCGGCATCTATCCAAGCACAGATTCACTCCTTGCTCCCATCCCAATCCCAGATCTGTTGCAACGCTTCATCTATGATCCCTTCGACCTCTAAACCCAATCCACAACCTTCCAAAGACACCTCTAGCTCAACTCCCTCAGCATACCTACTATCTACCATCCCAACTGAAGCATTGACACGCACCATGAATAGCAACACCCACAGCGTGCAGCAAACGAACAGCAAGCAAACTTGGTTCTCTGCGCCACTTGCATCAACAATAGCACCGGCAATCCCCACTCCATACAAAGAGGGACTAATACCCGCTATATCTCCACTGTGCCCACATTGCCTAGCTCGTGATCACCTCAAATATTGGTATCCAGTAGAGAGTAGATCCATGCAGAACGCTAATGGCAAGATCCTAGCTATAACAGATGAAGATCTTCAGCGAGTGCTCACCATCATGAACACATCCTGGACACAGGGCACTAGAGAATCATATGGAGCGGGTTTACTAGTCTTTCATGTCTTCTGTGACACTAGGAGTATTCCGGAACAGCAGCGCTGTCCCGCCGATAACATCACTATCCTTACCTTCATTGCGAGCTGCGCCGGCTCTTATGCAGGAAAAACTCTAGCAAACTATGTTTTCGCTATCCGTGCTTGGCACGTGCTTCATGGCCAGACTTGGAACATTGTTATGACTAACGTTCACCGAATGGTAAAGATCAGATCACAACCACTAGGACTCGGTCACAGATGATGATGAAACAAGATAGGATTGAGCGTGAACATCTAAGCCTACACAAGTGTAGAAACAAAGAGGTTAAGTCTAAGGAGTACTTACGCTAACTAACCTACTTATATACATAACATTGAATAGGAGTCTGAAAGAAATCAGCCAATGAGAAAAGAGTCTGCGGATGACTAAGTATGACATCATGATATATAAGCGAATGAGTAAGACGGCAACTAAACAGAAACCCAAGTTCTGACTGGTTCTTCTTTGGGAAGCGAGATTGTTCTAGCCCTTGGAGTAGGGGAGCCAATCAGAGAAACCATGGGTGATATGTGAAGAGGTGAAGGTGTGACAGGGTAATGAGTCATGTGACTGGTTCGGGTACTGGAAGTAACCGAAGGGAAACCGAGAAATGAAAAATGGTTTGTATTTGGAATTTGTGACATTACCCCCTTTCTAGGATGAGTGTCCTCACGAATGTAAGATGATTGGATATTTTTCTGTCTCCATTCGAGGAAATCAGGGGTCGTGAGAATTGAAGTGGAGATTCACACCAATTTAACCACATTGGGGTTTTCCGCATAAAAGTCGGCTACAATGAGCGGCGTGTTCTTCACATCTTCCTCTGACTGCCATGTTGCTTCTGCTACTGAATATCCTTTCCAATTTACTAAATACTGCAACTTGCGTCTGTATAGGCAGCTTTGCAATATTTGCTCTGCTTCATATTCTGGGACTTGGTCAACAATCTCTGGCGGCAGACGCATTAGAGGTGGGCGGTCAACAAGTTGAGAGGTTTGATGTGGGGTGAGTAGCAATACATGGAAAACTGGATGAATGTGATATTTAACTGGGAGTTTTAACTTGTAGTTTAGCTTGCCAATCTTCTCTTCGATTTCAAATGGTCCAAGACGGCAGTCGGACAATTTTTGGCTCGGACAGCGTTGTTTGATGTTTGTCACATCTAACCATACCTTGTCACCTGGTTTGAATTCTGGTGCGTCTTTTACCTTTGGTCATAAAAGTGCTTCATTTGATTGTTCGCTATTTCTAGCATCGCCTTCGTCTCTCCTTGTGCCTCCTTCATCTTGGCTAGTCTCTGATCGGCTTGGGGAATCATGTTGGAAGAGTTAGGGGAAATTGTGAATTCGGGGTTGTAGCCGTAGACACATTTGAATGGGGAATGTCCAGTGACTGTTATGGAATTGTTATGTGTGAATTCAGCAATTGGAAGCCAAGAAACCCAATCATTCTGACGGTAGGATGTGAAGAGTCACAGGTACTGTTCGACTTCTTGATTGACTCGTTCTGTCTGTCCGTCAGTCTGTGGGTGATATGCTGTTGACATGGACCACTTGGTTCCTAGTCTTTTTGAGACTTCCTGCATGAACTTAGACACAAATTGTGTTCCCCTATCCAAAATCACCTTCTTTGGTGTTCCGTTCAACTTCCATACATGATTGAGAAATAAGTCCACGATTCCCTTAGAATCAACATCCTTGGTGGTTGGCGCAAGATGTGCTTGCTTGGTGAAGCGGTCAACGACTACTAGAATACTGTCTTTTCCTTGGGAGATGGGTAGATCGACAATAAGGTCACAGCTGATAGTCTGCCATGGTCCTTCAGGAATTTCATTT